TGTTTTAGTAAAATTTTATTTACAAAAACAGGTGGTAGGTCGAATTTGGCCCATGGGCTTAGTTTGCTGACCTCTGCTCTAAGTCTTTCACCAGGTCCTCTTCACTTTCTAGCAAAATCACCCTTCTCTTCTGCCTATCCCCTCAGAAATTAATTCACTTAATTCTCACAACCCTTTAAGTTAGATTTTATGATTGCCCCCATTTTACAGATGAGGAAGCTGAGGCACAGAGAGGTTAAGTGACTTGCCCAGTGTCACATAGCAGGCAAAGGGCAGAGCTGGGATCAAAACCCAGGCTTGGCTGATACCAAGGCTGAGATCCTAAGTGCGTGGTGTAGGCTTCGCTATGAGTCATTGAGGTGCAGAACAATATTGTTTAATATCCTCCAACATGGTAATCAGGGAAGAATTTATCCATAGGCATCATCAGAGAGAGAGAATTAGAGCAGGAGATGAAAAAACTATTATAGACACCAATTGGTAGTTGATGGGATTTATTTGTGAACACCTGTGACGCCTGCGGGGGAGGGGGTAGAAGAATGAGGAGGAGCTATGTAAACTATGTAAGGGTCTATAGTCTTGCAATGGCAGGTGGGGAAATCACTATTGTGATGAGCATGAGGCTTATGAATGTGCAATGGTGCCCCATTTTACCCCTCCCCCATCATATTTGATACAGGGTATTTTGTCTTTGACCCTAGCTTCTCCTTTCCCCAGCTCCTAGCTTTTTTAAAGAAAAAATGCAAAATCTGGATATTGGGTATAGAGAAACAGACCCAGGTGGAATGGAAGAAAGGGGGAAAGATGTTTGTTAGACAGTTCCTGGACTCTCCTTTGTTGTGGAAAGTCTGGGTCGTGGACAAACCAGAGAGAGATAAAGAGTAGCCAGAGAGGTAAAATCAGCCTACATACTGTATTGCCGAGGGAGAATGGAGGTAGAAACAAGCCTGAAAAGGCATGCAGCTGCTCTAGGAGAGACTTGGGGTTGGGGTGGTGAATGAGAAGCTCTGGTGTAACTGAAGAGTATAAGAGAATCAAGAAGGAAAGGGAAAAGGATTTTGAGAAATGCTACCAGGGGTTATGAATTGGACCCCTTACAACATTCTTTGGGAGTTGCAGGTAAAGCCCTAAGTTACTATTGTAATTATTTTTGCTTTTGAAGATGTGACTCTACGTAGACATTGGGCCACCTGGGACCTTGGGATTTTTATTGGGTTACACCAGCAAAGCGACTCCATTTTTAACCTCTGAACTGGTTGGAGGAATCCAAGTTACATGCAAAAGAGAATGATAATAGTCATAGCTGTCCAAGAGTGGAATGGGCTAGCTCATGAGGTAGAAAATTCTCCTTCTCTAGAAGTGTTTGTGTAACCATCTATTGTGATGTTGAAGGGACAAATTCATGAGCCACCTAGAGAAAGTGTTCTCCAACTGGCTGGACATCAAAAGAATCTGAGCTTTCGCAATCCATAGGCCCAGGCCCCTTCTATTTCTGTAATGGTGCGGGGCCTGGAACCTTGACAAAATCTCTCTAGGGGACTCAGAGGTGTGGGAACCAATGATGTCAAGAGTTAAGCAAGGTGACCATGACTGCCTCTTTCAAGTTTGACATGAGAACAGTATCCTCCCCAAACCTCTCCTTCATAAAAGGATACATCGGAGAGATATTTAGCCAATCAAAGCACATTCTATTAAAAAGTGTGTACAAAGGGTCTCTCAAATAAACAAAGAGAAATAGAAATAACAAAGTCTCTATGAAGTTACATCTGGCTTCTTTTTGGGTCTGCTTGGATGACATTTTAGACACATTAAACTAGTCCACTTATTTATTTTAGTGCCCTTTATCCAGGTCTGTGGGACACCACCATTTCTCTGAATTCACTCCAAAAACCCCTTTCATGGGAAAAGAGAGTCAGATGGACAAAAAAAGAGAGAAGAGGTTCTCAGCCCTGCCACAAAAACTTCTTTTGGAATCCAGGTCATTGTGGCTGAGAGCTGTATCTGGAAAATGGCAAGCAAATTAAATTTTTGTAAATGCAGTCCTGTGTGAAAGGCTATAAGAGACTTTTTATGAAAAAGGCTAAGTTAGAAGAATTTTTCTGTAAACTGAGTGTGTATATCAAGGTTTATATTTTAGTGTTTTTCCCCTGACTGCAAAAATAATATATACTTATTGCAGAAAGCATGAAACATTTAGAAAAACAGAAGAAATTTAAAATATTCTTAATTCTATCACTGAGAGAGAGCTATTTAAAATATTTTGGAGTATACCTTCCCAGATGAACACACACACACATACATATATGTGAATATATATGTACATGTAATTGTTTTCAAAATATTGGAAACAAACTGTACATACTCCTTTATAACCTGCTTTTTTCACCTCATCTATCATGAGAATTTTCTTAAATTGTAAATATTTTTCCACAGTATAGCTTCCAAAGGCTGCATAGAATCCTATGAAACCCTGTTATAGGACATTGAGGTTGTTTCCGATTTTTGCTATGATAAATAATGCTACCTGTCCACATCAATATTATTTTAAATCAAGTCACACAGATACAACCAGTGATGCCATGTAAGACAGCGACATTGCTAAACATCTCATGTTGTATTTATTCTAAAACATTGAAGCTTTGGGAACAGGTTAACTGGTTCAAGGGTGCGAACACACCACACACCTCCTGAGGCTGGCTGACGGACTGCTGGGTCAGCCGTCTTGGGTTATGAGAGAAGCATATCCCTCAGGTGAGCTGATGCCCTGCCTTACACTCTGGCTCCCAGACTCTCTCAGTCCCTCCAATACTACTACTAAAGGGGCAGGAAAGGAAAAGAAAGTGCATGGCTTCTGTTATGGGCTGAATTGTGTCCCCCTAAAACCCATATGTTGAGGCTCTAACCCCCAGTACCTCAGAATGTGACTGTATTTGGCGAGAGGATCTTGAAAGAGGTGGTTAAGATAAAATGAGATCATTTGGCGGGTCTTAATCCAATGTGACTGGTGTCCTTATAAGAAGAGATCAGAACACAGACACACATAGAGAGAAGATGATGTGAAGACACAGGGAGAAGATGGCCATCTATAAGCCAAGAAGGGAGACCTCAGAAGAAACCAATCCTGCTGACACCCTGATCTCGGACTTCTATCTTCCAGAACCATGAGAGAATAAATTTCTGTTGTTAAGCCACCCAGTTTGTGGCCCTTTGTTATGGCAGCTCTAGTAAGCTAATATAGCTTCCTAACACTTCTTCAGAGAAATTCTGTTAAAACTATTTCTTCCTTAAAAAAAAGAACCCCAAACAACAAAAACCCTTCCCCCCTTTTATTCCCTGGGAGTCAAACCCTTAAGAGTAGGCAGCTTTAGAGTCAGAGCGATGAGGCTGAAATTGAGGATCCAGGACTCAGGAGCTGAGGGATCTCCAATGTGACCTTGACATGTCTGAGCCTTAGCATCCTCATCTTTAAAGTAGGGGTCATGATTCCTGTGGTAAATAATGCCCACCTTTCAGAGGGTTCTGAACACAACAGATGTGAAAGGCACCCAGCACAGTATGCAGGGGGCAGTGGATGAACCCTGTTAGCCAGTGGCCTGCATAAGTTTATCTCCACCCTGTCAGATAAAGTGAGTTGTGAGCAACCATGTAATTTTTAAAAAGAGAACTCCAGGGGCCGGCCTGGTGGCATAGCGGTTAAGTGGACGCGCTCCGCTGCGGCGGCCCAGGGTTTGGATCCCGGGCGTGCACCAACGCACTGCATGTCAAGCCATGCTGTGACAGTGTCCCATATATAAAAGTGGAGGAAGATGGGCACAGATGTTAGCCCAGGGCCAGTCTTTCTCATCAAAAAGATGAGCATTGGCAGATGTTAGCTCAGGGCTGACCTTCCTCACCACACACACACACACAAAGTTAAAAAAAAAGAGAACTACATGTTCAGAAGTTTTGCTTTAAGGCAGACTCACACTGTTTAGTTCACACAAGGTTTTTTCAAACTTCAAATTAGTTGGCAATATTTTTCAAATAAGAGATTCTACATGAATTCTGGATTTCTGCTTTTTGAAGAATCAAAAGATCTGGCAGCACTGAGCCCCATTCCTTTGTGGCTGTATTCCACTGCAGCCACCTAGCAGCTGCCCAGCTGTCTGGTTCACCGTGGTCCCTGGGCACAGAGCTCATCCGTGTCACCTGCCAGGCCCTGTAGCATTGAATTTATAATCTAACCCTTAATATATAAACTAATTTTTTTTTTCCTGAGGAAGATTGGCCCTGAGCTAACATCCATGCCAATCTTCCTCCATTTTGTACGTGGGTCGCCACTACAACATGGCCACTGACAGATAGTGTAGGCCCATGCCCGGGAAGCAAACCCAGGCCGCCAAAGTGGAAGATGCTGAACTTAACCACTAGGCCATGGGGCCAGCCTCTAAACTAATTTTTATAAATAAAAAATACACACACATATATACATGTACACAGAGAACATATGTATGTATATATGTGTGTGTGTGGTGTGTGTGTATCCTTTAAGTCACACACCTCTTGGCTTCATTATTTCAACACTTTTTCCTTTTTAAAAATCCACTTTGACTCTAGACACATACCTTTCATTCAATAAAACTGAAATCTAAAAGCCCTATCACTCCATACATCCTGGAAATGGGGGTGAAACGTTACAATGCCGCTAATCTGACCTCTTATTTTACAAATGAGGTTACATAGCTAGTTTATAGCCAAAAATTTAGCTTGGAAGGGGCCTCAGAAATTATCTAGTCTGTAAACCCTCTCTGTTGCTAGAAACCTCAGAGATTCAGAAACGGTTTTGTTATCTGATTCAATTTTTACAAAGAAAGAAAGAAAAAAACTTAAGACATTTAATTAGTCATGTTAATTTCCTTTCTTTTCCTCCCGGCAATCCCCAAGTATCAGGGAAATGCTCCCAGGTATTCCTAAAACAGGTTTACCTCCACCCAGCCCTGTGAACCTCTGCTTGCCTTGTATTAGTTGCTAGGTAACTGAAGATTTATGCACATCTGTTGTTAATTTCAAAGACAGTTCTCAGCTCTGCCATAAACCGGACTAGAAGCAGACACCACACTTGCTTAAGAGAGACTCCTCTTGCCTTCCCTGAGATGAGGCATTCCAGGGCACATCTACAAAGTCAAAAATATTCTGGTAAAATAAGATAATGCGGGTAAATTCCCAGCTGTCTGCAAAAACAATTCAGCAAATTTCAGACATTTGGGTCCATCTCCAGTGCCCTCTCATGCCAAATCCATTAGAAGTTTTATTCAAAGAGCATCACCTGCCCTCTTAGCATGCCTGCGTGAAATCTAATCTTGTGCTTCTCATCCCCCATCCTTCCCAGCAGCACCAAAATTCAGTCTTGGAATGGAAAGCTTTGTATCCCAGAAGCATCTGCAAAATTATTTCTCAACCAGTAATTTCATTACCTTTTCAAAGGCTCTTGTTAAGTACAAGTACCATTTATACTGGTTTGGACCACATGTATGGATATTATTGCCACTGCCAGGGTAAGTGACGAAGGGACCCAATTTATATGATGGTCCCCCAAACCAAAGTTTTATAGAGTGATCATAATCATAATGACCCTTTGCATTGGGGAAGCAGTTCATGCTTTACTATGAGCTTCCCTGGGCATCTCACCATCAGATTCTCACCACAACTCCGTAAGAGGCCTGGTTCATGGCATCATCGCTTCTGGCTTAGACAACTTCCTGACTTCAACAGTCTGCCAACTGGTGGTCTGGCCTTGTTTCTTCCTGATGCACCCTCCACAGAGGCTCCAGAGAGGTCGCTCTAAAATGGAAAGCTGAACATGTCACTCTCCTGTTTAAACCAGCCATTGACGTTTCATAATTTACAGGATCGAAGTTCACACACTTTAGCGTGGAAGACGAGAGCCTCCATCATCCAGCTCCTGCCTACCTCTGCATCTTGTCGCCCATCACTCTCACCTCACATTTTGCATCCCACCGGCACTGCCTTCGGTACGGCTCCCTGCACACCATGCTGTTTCTTGCCCCCTGGATCTTTGATCATACTGTTTACTCTGCTTCCAAAGCATATACTCCCACCATCCAATTATTGCACCATCTCCTCCAGGAAGCATTCTCTGACTCCCCCTCACCTCAGCCCTGCTGAGTTAGACGCCTCTCCTCTATGCTTCCAGAGTACTCAATGCACAGCTCTATCAGCGCATCTATGGAATTGCTTCAGAATGTTTTGTTCATCTGTCTGTCTCCACTACATGTCTGAGTTTTTTCCAAGGCAGTGTCTATATACCATCTTCTTCCATTTGGTATCCCCAGAGCCGAGCACAGTGCCGGCCCATCATGATCATCAGTTTGTTGGAGGGAAGGAGTAAAGGGGAAAGGGAGAGAGATCATAAGGGGGAGGCCAGTAGCACCACCAGCCTGATTCATAGATAAGGCAAGCCAGGCTCTGAGAGGTTCAGTGACCCTAGGCAACATATTTAGCAAGCAGAAAGATCCAGAATGTGAACAGAAAGAAGGATCCTTAGAAATAATCGAAGTCATCCTTTAATATAGTGGAAAGAGCTGCTTCTTGCATACTTTCAAGGATGGGGTGCTCGCCGTCTCTCTAGGCAGCCATTCCCACTGTCGGCCAGCTAGCCTGTGAGACAGTACTTTCTTGGGTGGTGCTGAAACTGGTTTCCCCATGATTCGCATCGGCCTGGTTCTACTTTCGCCTTCTGCTGTTAGACATTTCCTCTTGTTGGAGCAGAAACCTCAGACTTCCCATCTGTGGATAAATCACCCTCAAGTTGCTCCCGCCTCCCTCCATCATCATTGAAAATGCAAAAATAACCAGATTCCTAGCCTGAACGTAAGTGCTTTCCATGGACTATCTAATCCGAACCTCCCTGAAACACAAGTTAAAAAACATGCCCAAGATCACACAGCTAGAAAGTCACAGATCAGGCCTGGACCCCAAGGGGTTTACCTCCAAGTTCCTGGATTTAACTACCTCACAATAGCCTTGCCTGTCTGAGCCCTTAGGGTGTTCGACAGTGAAAAGCTAAGCAGATTAAAGGTACACAATTCGTGCGCTCTCTGTTTTTTTTTTTCCCCTTCCTTTAATACCAGCTTTATGGGGACCTAGCAGATCTCTCCCTTCTGAGGATTACTTTTAAAAATGAATTTCTTTCTCCTTCCTCCTCCCTCCAAGCCCCATCTGAGGAAGACAGATCTCTGGGTTGCTGGCTCTGCAAATATCCTGTTATTCATGGGGTCCTGCACCAGGACGAGCCAACTCATTAGTTTCAAAGCCTCAAATTAATCTTACATTACTGTTCCCGAAGGTGAAAGGTCATTTTTTATCTTCTTAGCTTCATCCACCACCCGGGAGGAAATTGGATCTTCATGCAGGGGGAGACCCCTCTGCCTATCGTGCCAGCTGTTGACGCTTCTCTTCTTTGTTGTGAAATTGTACACAGAGAGCTGGGATTGTTTTAAAAACCCAGAGGTTGTTGTTTTTAAAGGAGGAAGTTTTGTAAATCATAGGGCAGAGAAATGATTACGTGTCTGGTACCGGGAGTGTTGGAAAAACCTAGAGACTGAAACAAACTTCTATGCCAGAATGAAGCTGGTGTCAACTGGAAGGAAAAGCCCCTTCTCTGTCCTCCAGCTTTGCGAGGACAGGCACTAGGTGCCTCCTAGTGGCAGAACCTAACATGGCACCAGCTGGCTGGGAGAAATGGCAGTTCCCAGCCACCGTGTCACAACACAGTGGGGACTTTGAGGCTGAGTGACAATAGCTTAATAACTGGCACCAGCAACCATACCTATATCAAAGATATGTGCTAAATTCAATTAGGCTGGTCTGTGGGAGCGCTGGTGGGGTGGTGGTGTTCCACGTTCATGGAACGTTCCAGGCTCAGTCCTGATAACCTCCCAGATCTTGAGAGGAGCCACCCCCACAGAGTGAGGCATGATTCCCAGGTTGGGCTGCCCCAGTTTGACTGAAATTCCTCCTGGGTAGCCCTGGCTGGATCAAAGCTGCATTGAGGAGGAGAATAGAGCTGCATTGAACCTTGCCTGCTTGTGTTCATGGTAGCTATTGTCTCTTCCGTAACCGTGTAATCAGAGCGAATACATTGACCAGTGTTTGCTTTCCCCCGCCCGGGCCTCCGCCCGGCTCCATAGCGGGGTTTGGCATCTAAAGGAGCGTGGGAGTGGACTGTGGCAAGAGTGCTGGGTCACCCCGGGGTAGAGAAAAATAGCCTTCTCTTTACATCTCTAAATGCTGCTACCTGTTAGAGGCCTTGGAGAAAGCACAGGTGGTGGTTGCGCAGCTTCAGGGTGTAACACCATCAGAATGAGATAGAAATTTGCCCTTTCCCCATGCACTGCCCATCAAAAATGCCCCATCAATATCTTAGAGCCAAATGGCATTCATTCAAGACAGCAGCTGCTAAACAGAGCAGGTAAAAGGTCAAGGTAGAAAGGTGGGATTTGGAGGAAGAAAGCAAAATATAGCCACTACAGTTTTTAATTCTACTTAATTTTAAATAATATTCAGCAAAAAGTTTAATGACCCCATGAAACAGGGTAAAGGGGTGATATTTATTGCATGTCATGCTTGCAGTGCTGGTCTATTCTCTCTCAAAGATAGGGAGGCAGTGAGACAGGAACCTCACTGGAGATTAAAGCCCCATGACTGCAATTGAGGGCCAGGGCTGGCAAGAAAGAACTGCTCTAAATCTCGTCCAGGTGTGGACCCAGCAATTATTCCGGCCACTGCTTTTCACCTCCAAGTTGAGCTGGCTCTGCAGGGAAGGAGGACGAGTTGCCAAGTAGCAGACTGCCAGTTGGCTGAAGCCACTTTACCCATTCTGGCCTGGAAAGGGAGAGAAGTTAGAGGCTAGGTCATTTTAATTTTGGTGGCACACCAAATGCTGTGCACTGGGCCTCCCTACCCGGCTGACTGATGCCTGGTTCTTAGCTCCGGCTGAGTTCCGCCCTACACAGACGGGTGTAGACATGAGCAAGGCTGGTTCCTGGCTTAGCATGGAGCCATGGGACACAGGTTTCTACGTCCCCTTCAAGAATGGTGTAGTGAGAGTCAGTCATTTTTCCTCCTTGGCATTCTTTCCACTTTCTTCTAGTAACAGCACTGTGATTTTCCTGTGGGAGACCACTGCTTCTTCACTTTCAGCACTTACATCTTGGTTCTAGATGCTTCTCTTTCCCTCTCACCCCAGCACTAGGAATAGACCTAGGTCTGGCCAATTGAAATCGATCTTAGGATTTGTTTTCTTTTTAGATTTTTTAATTTTTAAAAGAAAAATTATTTTGAGGTCATATTGGCTTACAACATTGCGTAAATTCAGGTGTACGTCACTATATTTCAGTTTCTGTATGGACTGCATTGTGATTTTTGTTGGAACAATCAGGAAGAAGAGGAAAACTTCTCTGGCTGATGGTTGTTGGGACAACAGCTTGTGCATCACTCAACTATGGCCAACCAGTCTGCATAACGAACCCTCCCACAGCTCAGTGGCACACGACAGCAAGCACTGATCATCACACCGACAGGTCTGCGGGTGAGCTGGCATGCTTCTGCTTCAGGCTCCAGTCTGTGGTCAGTGGGGCAGCTCTGCTGTAAATGTCTTTTGTTTCTCCAGATCCAGCAGGCTACCTGCGGCATATTCTCATGGTGATTCCAGAGGCAAAAGAGAAAGGCAAATGGAAAGAGGTAATTCTTCGTAAGAGCTAGGCTTGAAACTGGCACACTGTCATTTCCAATCATATCCTTCTGGCCAAAATAGGTCTCATGGCCATGCCCAACATCGTGGGATGATAAATGTACTCCACTCTAGTGGAAAACTGCAAAGTCACTGGCAAAGGGCATGCATGCAGGAGGGGTGAAGAAGTGGGAATAGTCGTGCAGTCAATCACATGGTGAAAGCCGCCTTTGCTGGTGGCCGCTTGGCCACCTGATGGGACAAGTCTGCCTGAATGAAGCCAACAGAAAGGAGAGCAAAGACAAGACATGGAGACTGAGACGTGATAATATCGTTGGAGTCCCTGAATCCTGCTATGTCCTGACTTTTCGATTATATAATGAAGTCTCTTTCAATTGAGTTTCTGTCGTTTGTGACAAAAAGACACCTGACTGATCAGGTGTCTTTTTGTCACACCTGATCAGTCAGGAAACTGGGAAAGTCTGCAGTGTCAAGTCTAAGAGAGAAGTGGCAGGATTCAAAGGCAAGGCAAGATAGAGCAAGTGGGTTCTGGAGGCTGAGCCTGGAATGGTTGCCAGAGGCCACTGGACACGGGTTATGGAGCCTTTTACAAGGTTCTTTTAGAAAGCCAGTCCGTGTGAAGGGAGCATTGAAGGACACTGCCATTTGAACACTCTGGACCAAAGGAATATAAGGGCTCTTGTTTCTCGAGCATCTGACAGAAACAGATGAAGAACACCAGAGGGGGCCATACTGATGTGATCCATATTGCCCACCCCCAAAGTAAGAACAATGTAAGTTCTAGAAAAGCACCACAAAGACTTTTAGGATCATAGGTACTATAAAAAGTCCTTGATCCTGTGATCCTAAAAAAGGAACCAAGGGGCCGGCCCTGTGGCATGACGGTTATGTTCGGCATGCTCTGCTTCGGCAGCCCGCAGGTTCACAGGTTCGGATCCCAGGCGTGCACCTACACCACTCATCAGCCATGCTGTGGCAGCGACCCACATATAAAATAGAGGAAGACTGGCACAGATGCTAGTTCAGGGTGAATCTTCTTCAGCAAAAAGAAAAAAGAAAAAAAAGGAACCAAAGATTTCAGAGGAGCAAATGAGACTTTTGGCCTGAGAGGAAGGGCCAACAAGGACACTAATATTTGAATAGACATAGCAATGACCTTAACTACAGCCATTACCCTTTATTGAGAACAAGCCATGTGCTACGTACTGGTCTAAGGAATCGACATATATTAGAACATTGAATCCTGTCAAGAAACCTGAGAGGTCAGTATTTTATCACTGTTTTAAATTTGAGAAAGATGAAGTTAGAGAGGTTCCATCCCCCTGTCTGTCTAAGGTCCTTGGGCTGACCGTCTGTCCTGCCCCAGAGCCCTCGCAGTGACCGCCAGGCTGTGAACCTCCCTAACTGTGATTCTTGGTTCTTCCTGACCCTGGAGCCTGCAGGGACCTTTTAATTAGTACTTCCTTCCCTTGCTCCTTTCATAGCCTCCTGTTCTTTGAAATTGGGGCCCAGCATCAGACTGGAGAGAAAAATATCCTCCCTATAAACACTTTCCTACAGTCTCATCGTAGAGGGCAGTGTGGTTTCCCCTGTCCGGCACCCAATCTCTCTTCCTCTGGTAAGAGCATGTGGGTTCCCTTTAGGAATCCCCTTCCGCCACTCTCAGTCCAGGTGACTGAGGTGGGACTTGCCCCACCCAGCTGATCCCACACCCCTGCTCCCCATCCAGGGGTGGGCACCAGAGCCTCAGCTGCCAATCCCTGCAGTCCAGGCCTTAGTTAGAGAGGCACATGGCGTGGTGGGGCCAGAGTCGGCTAGGGTGTGACCTTGAGTCACTTATCTAATCATTTCTGTGCATCAGTCTTCCTGTCTGTAAAATGGGATGACAATAACAATAGCCCCAACTCTGGAGGGCTGTTATGAGGAAGAGTTAAGATAATACATACAAAGTACACTGTACACACCCTCAACAAGATACAGCCGTGGTCATGATTGGTCCAGGCATGGGCACATGACGTGTTCAAACCAATGGGAATCTTTGCTGGGATTTTGTTGGAAATACTGAGACAGCAGTTTTCTCTCTCTTTCTCCTCCACCTCTATCTGTCTCTGGGGGGGTCTTAGGCTGTGGGATGTGGGCCTGGAGCAGCTAGTGGGAAGGAGATGTGAGAGGTCCAGAGACAGATTTTATCAGCATTGTTTGAAGACCTGGGTCTGGCTGTGCCTGCAGTCACCACTTCCCTGGACCTTTCAGTAGCACGTGGCAATGATTCCATTTTGTGGGGAAGACCAGTTTTAGACAGAGTCAGGGTGGGGGATGAGGCAGCAGAGTACATGGGGTGAGAATTGTTGGAGTATCTTCAGACTTCAGCATCTTCTGACTTTTCTCTCCTCTCTTAACCCATGAGACACACAGAGTAGTAAACCAGGGAAAGAGGTTTCCTCCCTTCCTCCCTCTCACAAGTCGGGCCAAAGAGCACAGCCACTTTGGTACCACACATCTGGGTTTGAATCTCAACTCAGCCATTCCCTGATGACAAAAATGTGCACAACTTTTGTAAACCCTCTGGTTCAACCATACGAAGTGATAATTTTTATAGGTCACAAAATAGCTGAATATTGACAGTTTCACATTGCTCAACCTAACAGTTCCCACCTAATGGGGTTTTGTTAGGATTAAATGAGATGATACATGTGAAGTTCTTAGCACGATGCCTGGCACCGAGGTAATGGC